GGGGAGACCTAGACGTAGATGGGAGGATAATCTCAGGCGGGATCTATGGGAGATAGGAGTTGAAGGAGACTGGATTTTGTTGGCCCAGGACAGGGTCCGGTGGAGGGCTTTGGTTAATTCGGTGATGAACCTTCGGGTTCCGTAAGCGATCTAGTTAGTTAGTTAGTTCGCAGTATCATAACTTAAACACACTTTAGTCGTATCGACGGTTTCTTGAGATTTATCAGTCAAAAGAAAATTCTCAGAACGAAATGGACAAACGCATTTCCTAAATGCGAATCCTCGTGTTCATTTCTTCCTCGCGTAGAGACTGCGGTTAACTCAACGCTTTGGAGCGGATGACGCATCCGTTGCTAACTGCGGTATCATAAACCTCACAAAGACATTCAAGAACTAGAAATTCAGTTTTCTATAACATAGATTTCCAGCCTTACAAATTTCGTGTTTTAATTTTTTATTTAATGACATAATTTTACAATCCATTTTAATATTCTATTTAGTTCACGAATTTGAACCAAACTCCGCAGTCTTCGTGTTCGGGAGATTCTAAGTTCAAATCTCGGCAAAGGGACCGGTTATCTTGACTGAAGTTTCCGTGGATTTTCTTAATCCCCCCAGAAAATTTCTAGCACAGAACCTCAAATTAGGCCAAGACCGCTTCCTTCCACATCCACTCCAAGTATTCATGTCTGAGCTACTTAGAGAGTCGTTAAATATAATCTCAGAAACACATTCATGGGTTATCGTGCAATGTTCTTTAGTAGGTGGTCGTAAGATAGGATTCTACTCGAGTCGAAGATATTCTTGCCCTCAATTGTAAAACATATTATAAATTTTTGTTGCTATTTTTATTATTGTAATAATCATTTGCTTTTGGTAAGAATTTATTTAAGCAGATTGAAAATTTTGTGTTAATTCCTAAGATCATTCAAAGTTTGAAATGTCACATAAACATGGGTCCTGTTCTCAGCGATTACGAAGATATCGATACAAATTCGAGATGATTTGAACAGACATAAACCACAAGTACGGTTGCACTCTAAGAGCATTGGGGCACTCGCACGTTTTAGCAGATACGTGATGGGGCAGTTGAACGAACAGTTCGCTCCCTGACTGATGGATTGGCCAACATCATCATCGGAATTCTGTGCTAGATTTCCATGTATGGGACTGCACGAAAAACATGGTATATGGATGCAAGGCAAATAGAAGGAAGAAACTGCTCACTGAATAATGAATTCTTCCCGGGCTACGAGCCGTGTCAGGTGGTTGAAACTTAAAAAGTACGCACGTTTCGAGAACCATCTTCTTCGTCCTCAACGGCTGGTAGCCCGAGAAGAATTCGTTGTACTTACTCGCCGTGAAAGCTTCAGATCATATATTTGTGTGTTTACGTATAAGTACACTACACACGGTAACACTATTCTTTTTAAAAAAAAATGAGCTTCTGCAGTGGTGCTGGAGTAACATGACGGATAAATTAGTGAAAATATCAAGACCAATTTCATTAATTAAGGTCGATTATGGACGTCAGTAATGACGTGTCGTTAAGAGATGGATCAGGATTTGGGATGTCACAAACCTAAATTTTTATCAAATACGTGAACCAGAACCAAGATGAATGTTACAATGATCAGAGCCGATAATGCGGACAACTAACTATCTGTCCTTACCTTCGCCTATCACCACCGGATTTGGGGAACTGTCCTTTCAGGTCCCACACGTTCCCAGAATGCAACACCCGCAGAGATCCAAATGCGGTATTTATTGCCATGAAGGCTCCAACTCTGTGGCAGCTGACACGAGCGTCAGACTATAGAACGCTACTGAGCCCCCAAATAGCATTCTAGAAGCTTGCAAGTAATTTGCAAATTGAAGGCTGGACTCTACTTTCGTCTGCACAGAATTCATAAACTGGGATTTACAAGATCGACTTTAAATGCAGATTTAATAACGTGAAAATATACAAGACTTCTCCAAATATTCATTTAATTTGTACACTTTTTCGTATAAGGTATAAATATATGAACAAATATTTACAAAATCATTCCTATTTGTAGCGCTGAGCACCATGAAGTTTTGAGTCTGAAATTAACGTCAAATCATTAACCATTAAGACTAAATAGTCGAAGTACGAAGTGTCTCAGCGAAGCGCCTTCGAACAAGTCGACATTTTTCTGTCCGTCGTCTAACGTCAGGCACAAAACGAGGTTTAAGAAATAGACCGTCTGCGAGTTTCCTCACGTGAATTGGTGAGATCTGTTGCCTCGTGGTAAGAGCGCGTTACAGAATCTCCCCCCACGCCCCGCGGTTGCACACCCTCACGTGCTCCTTCGTACGTGATGTCAGTACGAGCAAAGACACATTCAAATGCCACGAAGCCTTTCATTGGTTTCGTTGTCTGTTTCAGAATTTAAAAATACAGGTCTAGAAGACTTCGTATTGGCTGATCTTTGTATTAGGCCTCAAAAGAAACATTTCTAAAATATTCCAAATGTAAATCGATTATTCGATGTGGAACATAAAATGATAATTTAATTATCTTATTTGTAAATTTTAAATTTTAAATATAATTGTGATTAGACGGACAAAACCGAATAATTAATTTAATATTTGATATATGACACAATTATACTATCTTATTTTTATTCTTGCAAAATTACCGAAGAATTTGTTTAATGGACATAAAATATGATAAGTCTGTATCTTGGTTTGTGTACAAATGTCTTCTCACCTCCATCGCTTATAGGACTTTGGTACTTTAAAGAAGCTTCAGATGTTTGTGGGGCGACATGCGAGATATTAAGTCACCGCAGAATAAAGAACGCCGGAACATGAGGAGAGTCCTTACTTCGCTTAAGAAGATCACAGTTAGCATCTCGACATGACATGAGAGAATATTTTAAAAAATGGTTCAATTTTTATGTTATTACATTTTTACATTTTAACCTAACCTACAAATTTTTAATATTTTACTGTAAATGTACGTCTTTATAGGGGCGTTTTAGATTCAGGTTTCCCAACTCAACTTCTGTAAACATTTCACATTTCTGTCTTGCATGCAACGTGTTCAGGTCACACCATCCTTCGTTCTTAATCGATATTACCTCGTTAAAATAAAACTGTCTACAAAATTATGTAAATCCTTATAACACGTCTCCCGCTCCCTTCGTCTAAGTGGGCAGACGAGGTCCATGGCTGTGCAGTGGAACTAACCGTGAGGTCTCTCCTTCTTTCTCAGGTTTCCGCGAGTCTGCGTTCGCTTACGCCATCTCGTCGGCTGGCGTAGCGCACAGCGTGGCTCGGGCCTGCAGTATGGGCAAGCTGATGGCTTGCGGGTGTGACCCCGGGAGGTACCGGGCCGCGGGCCGACTCGGCAGCAATAAGAACTCGAAGGCCCGAAACTCGCGCCCACAACAGAGAACTCGGAGTGCCAGCAGGTGGAAATGGGGGGGGTGCTCCCACAATCTGGACTATGGCGTCGATTTCTCGAAGTCCTTCCTCGACTCGAGAGAAAAGGCCGGAGACATCCAGTCCCAAATCAACCTTCATAATAATCAAGCAGGAAGACTTGTAAGTGTAACTGGAGTGAACCCCCCACCCAAATAAGTTTGTAACTCATCAGCAAATTTCTAGAAGCATTTCTCGCATTTTTAATTGAAATTCCTGCAGCAGAATGTAATGGTCTTCCCCCTGCATGTGATAAAATTACCTTTCTTTAAGAGTGTTCATTCCGTTCCACAAATAATTCGCCTTTATTGCAGTAAAGAATTCCATAATCTCTATATATTAAATCTTGTCCGTCCATAATCTCGTTAAAATTGTCTCGTGTTGGACCACTCTAATACTGAGATTTTGGATTCATGAAACCTGAATATTAAATTTCATTTAATATATTATCCCGTCTCTCGCCTGGAATGACAGAGGACACGAAAGACGTGTCGTTAAGAGCCCGTCTCCGGCCGAGGTTTGAATCTGACACCGCCCACGTACGAAGCACGAGTGCTAACCTTTTGGCCAGATATCAGTTGATATGTAATTAAATAAATCCATTACGTCGGGATAAACTAAAGTCCATACAAGAGAAGATAAGCCGTTAAGCATAAATCCTAAAAAAAAAAAGATAAGAAGAAGCCTGTTAAATTTTTAAAATGACGAAATTCATTGAGTGAAATAGAAACATTTTTAAAATTGAAGCTAAAACAGCAAAGAAAACCTCAGCTCGGTCGTACAGCGTTTATGATCGAACTTGGCGTTCGCTGGGTCCCCGCGTTTGTGCTGCTAGTTGCTAACAGAGCCTACGTGTGTCGACTCGAGATCGATTCGTGACCGTCGACCATCGACGTACGAGTCTAGGACGACAACCCACAAAACAGATAGCAACTTCCTCCTGCAGGACAAAGAACGCAACAAAAGTACGAACTGAATTCCGCGAATGAGAAAACACAGGCCTACATTTTGAGGTCCGCTAGGCCTTCAAAATTTACGTTAATCTGTTTCCGTTCTTTTAGAATTGCATTGCCCGGGTTGGACCGGGAATTTATCGCAACATAAAAGTAACAAATTGCTTTCTACCTGAACCGATGGCAGAATTACTACGAAACTGAAGTTTACATTAGCCAGCCAGAGAGTCTCTTGTACTCGCTCGCTAAACGCATTTCAATCGCGGGTACAGAACCACCGTCAGTATTTGAGGGGTCGTCACCCTACCATCAAATTACTACAGCACGCTGCTAGAGGGGCGAGGGGGAGAGGATAAATAGGGGTCCAATGCTGGGGCATTACAGGATTAACAGCGGCAGCGTAGCCTGTGATCTGCTAAATGTTTTCAGCAGAACTAAGATTACATCTGTAATCTGCCGGCATCCATTCACTCAGATTAAGACCTGCATCTCCATAAAAGAGTAATCCCATCCCCTCTAATGGCGGCGCTGTGATTCGCCTCTATAGATGATGCACCAGCCTTGTGTCTGGATGAGAAGAATAGCATCTGGGGCTTTGAGTGAATAGTCGGTGGTTGATTTCTGTCTTCCAACAAACATCATAGCGCAACTCTAATTACTAAGCATCGTTTGATGTTTTGATGTTCAACATATAACACTGTCCTCATAGAAACGATGAATGTTGAATGTTTCATTTCTGAATACGTAACAGAGTCGCACATATTGTGTGTTATATCCCCATGCTCGGTTCGACGTCCACTGGTAATATACTAATATTAGACATTCAAATAATATTAGACGGAATGCTAGGTATCGCAAAATCTTTGTCCAGGCCTTCCTAAATAACAAATTCGAAAGACTTTTCCAAATACCCAGATTTTCCACATTTTTTGACGTAAATACGTCTATATTTTAGGGTCAGTGTCATTCCGCAAAAAAGTGTGTCGAAAATGTGTAAGATGGTTACCCAGGAAACGTCATCTGTTTATCAACAAATCGATAAAAATGGTTACCTAAGAAACATCTGTTTACTCGGCATTGTTGTTACCTATAAAACATTACATTACATTCATCTACCACAGACCCATCTTAAGTTATCTTAATTCAAATTAAATAAGTAATGTCTTAATCAAACTTATCTCAAATGTAAAGCATGTATAAAGGAAATTTTTAGAATAAAGCCAATATATAAACTTCCTTTCCGTATAGACGTATTTACGTCAAATTCTCCGGAACCGTGGTTCCACTGACAACTTTTTTCATTATTAGAACACGTATAAATCAAATTTATCGTTACACAATTATAATATGGAATGAATGAACACGTTCTTCGAGTACTCGGCAAATTTTACGTATCTGACCAAAATAGAATTTACGAAGACCTGGTTAACTTCGGGGATTGCTAGCCTCCGATCAGTTCACGATCTCTCGTCCTCCGAACTATGAAGATTAAAATATAGAAAATTACAAATTTAAGTGCTGTTTTCTGTGGACCTAAAACTCAGTCTTTCATTCCAAAAGAAGATCATAGATTAAATGTATGAGATCAAAGGTTCAAATGTTTCGAAAAAATAAACGTCGCTTCCAAATTCAAGAATTAAGTGGCCACAATAGACAGAGATCGAAGGTGTTTCAAAACAACAGATTTAATAAGTGTCACTTTCAAAAGCGTTTTGGAAATAATGTGTATTTAAGAGTAATCTAGTTTACTTTGCAAAAGTCACTTTTTCATCGACAGAGTCTTTTATCGGACCTTCGCCATAGAGCGCATAAAATGACGAGGTGTCAACTGCCCTAATGTTTCAGCTCAAAAGAAACTGAAATGATTTCGATGAGATTTTGTTTTATGGATTGAAAGAGAAATTTACTAAACCGACTTAATTTCGATTTGTAATTGCCTTATATAATACTTTCTTTACAAAACAATCAAATGAAACTTCAAATTTTCCTCAAAAGCTCTTATCGTTCATGTCATTTGTAATGATCCGTTTAAGACATTTTTATACGATTTAAATTTGGACACTTCTTACGACTTGTGAATATTTAACAGTGTGGGCAGTTTTGCAAAGATTTTGATCAAAATTCCACCCACAGTCTCTCCTAATCTTAAATTTACTGTATTTGTTAGGTTAGGCTAGGTTAGGTTAGGTTAGGTTAGGTTAGGTTAGGTTAGGTTAGGTTAGGTTAGGTTAGGTTAGGTTAGGTTAGGTTAGGTTA